ATGTATAACCTATATCAGATTGCTTGTTGTCTTGGGTAGGAGGAAGGTGAGAGGAAGGAAGGGGAAAAATTTGGAACTCACAATCTTTCAAAAAATGAACATGGAAAATTGTCCTTACATGTAATTGGGGGAAAAATGTTATTAATTTTTAAAAAGAGTAGGTTTAGATGCCAAGTGACAATGACAGGCAAAGACAGAGCTTTCACTAAGCTGTAGAACTAGACCAATCAACAACTTGCTAGTAATTATACAATAAGCAATTAGACCAGGTCAGAAGGAAATGGGTCTGGGAAGATTATGGCTTTCAGGATCTGCCATAGAGACTTCCAAGAGAATGATGAAGAAAGATCATGTAAGGTCTGTGCCTGGAGTCAGATAGGGAACTACCCTTTCATCTGAAGGGGTAAGGATTGGGTCAGGAGTTGAGAAGACCAGTGTAGTTATAGTTAATCTCCAAGACAACCTAAGTTCACAGAGATTGACTCAAAAGGGTCATGCCCAGAGATAAGACCGGGAAGCAGGTTCTTGGAGGACTTGAGAATCCCCATAAGAACTGGAAGTGGTGCTTCAAGATTATTTTTGTTTAGCAACTGCCCCCAAAAAAGGGCCAAGGAGGAGGAAAGGACTTGGACATCAAGTGGAAGTGGTAGTGCAAACCAAGCCAGTCCTTAAAGATAGAATCAGAAATGTATCCTTTTAAAGTCATTCATTTCTATCCTTGTGGGGACTGGCTCGGCAGGGGGAAGGAGAAATCCGCTGGTTTTCCCCTTAGTTTCCTAGTACAAGTTCCTTTTGAAAAGTCCCAACCTTGTCTTCGTTAAACCAGGAAAGGGGATTTTTCTCCCCCACCTTGACCTAGATCATTATAAAATGGCCTCAGGGAAATCAGACCAATTGAGGGACTCAAGGAGCTGGTGAAACCAATAAAGGGCAGCGACTGGGAAAAGATAGATGCAAGGCCAGCCCTAGATTGTCTGGATTGTCTGTTGGTTTTGTTATCTGTGCTTCTTTTTGCTCCCCTTCCCTCTAACCCTATCCTATTAGTTCAGGTAAGTGAGATTTGGAAATAACCTTTTTTTTTTCTATTGTGCTGAAGATATTTAGTTTTTGAAAAGGATGAAGGCCACCCGTCCCTGAACCACAGTTCTTATGTTCTGCTGATTTTAACCAGAAGGTCCCATTCAGTAACTAAACCAGGGTAGTCCAGATACTTAGAGCTGTTCAGCTTAAGAGGATGTTCCCCCTTAAATCCAAATATTCTTTCAGAGTGTATGTTGGTCTCACTCCTGCGTCACTCCCTTGGAAGCAGAATTATAAAGTTCTCAGTCTGGTGTCGAGGGTCCTCCACACACTCCCACTGCCCTTGAAGCTGAGCTCATTGGCTGGGTGGGCCACCAAGGGTGGAGTGCACCATAGCAACAGCTCGAAGAGGATGGAGAGGGGGAGAGCTTTGTTCTGCTGCTGTCCGTGAAGTGCCTGTTCTGTGGGCCGAGTTCTGGGAATGAGCCCAAAGGAGCATCTTTAGGTTGCCGCTTTGGTGGATAAAGGGGTAGCAGAGACACTACCTCTTTCTTGTGTCTAACTTGAGTTCCTTGTGCTTTAGCCAAAGCCTGTTTCTTCTTGTTCTGTCTTTACTAGAGGCTCAGATGGTCACTACCCTCTATGTGACAACCCTCCATAGGCTGAATAAAGCTAATTCCTTTCATCTTTACTCTTAGGTCTTATCTCTCAACCCTTTAATCATCTGTATGAGACTTTTCTTTGAACCTTTTCTAAATGCTCCGCTTTTGAATTAGAGAGACCAGAACTTAATAGCTCCATCATTCCCAGAGTACAGCCTGGGTACCATCAGGAAGAAGAAATTAAATTGCATTTAGAATCATTCTAGTAAAATCAGAGGGGAAAAAACCCCCACAAAATTGGTTGCTTTACATAAATAGTACAATTCTGCAGGCAGCAAATGAACTCTTTTCTTCCCTATTGTTCTGGAAACAATAGTACATTCCGTAACCAAGAGGGTGCTAAGCTTTGAAAAGACTGATTTCCTGGGATTAGGACGAAGGGAGACGCCCTGCCGTTGCTAAAGGGAGCTTGCCGGGGCTGGCTCATCCCTCGGAGACTCTTGAGCCTTCCACCTTTGAGCGCTGATAGTTTACATGCACCTCTGGAGCCTTTCATGCGTCGTGGAACCTGTTGTAGGAAGGCCAGCTTCTGTCCCCAGGTCATCAAAGTTGATTTTGTTTCTATATGACTGCACTTCACAACAGGCTTGTCTGTTATAAATACTTCTTCAAGCTTGGCTTTGCAGATTTGCTTGGCCAGCTTGACTACGGCCAAAATTTCATGGGAGGGGGAAGTGGGGGAGAGAGAGAGAGAGAGAGAGGAAGGGGAGTTGGAGATGACTTCTCTACCTCGAGCTAGCTGCATGACCTTGGACAAGAGGGTTATCCTCTCTAGGCCTTAGTTTTCCCATCTGTGAAATGGGGCTTTGGGCTTAGATATAGGGTCACTCCAGCTCTAGCTTTGGATCAATCTACTGAACATCAGTGAGCCTTGCTGTTCCTTAGAAACTTTAGAATGAGGAAGGGCAGTTGGATTCATCTGCTGATGCTTTGGGAGATAACATGTAATTTTTACCTGGTGCTTTCCTCTGTTTCTCCCCCCAGTTACTCCAGAATTTCCTAAATGATGGCAACTCCAGGGCCAAGGCTTACAGCATCCCTCTGTATTTCTCCCTAGTTCTTTTGCCTTTAATTACAAGGTTGGAAATCCTGCTGGAGCAGCCTTAGTGTCAGGAATCCAGAGAGTTTGTAGTTTTGGCCACTTTGCTTACTAGAAATGAGATGGGTCACCTCACCTTTCTGAGCCTCAGTATCTTATTCTATAAAATGGGAACTATAATACTTGTACTACCTACTTCACAGTTGTGAGTGTAATAACTTTCATTCTTATAGTTGTCTTAAGGTTTACTCACGATCAAACAAGATGTTTATAATGTTTATAGGCAGCTGGGTGGCAACAGTAGATAGAAACCCAGGCCTGGGTGAAGAATATCCAAGTTCAAATTCAGCCTCAGACATTTACTTAGATATATGACCCTAGACAAGTCACTTAACCTCTGTCTGCCTTAGTTTCTTAATCTGTAAAATGGGAGTAATAATAGCACTTCACCTCCTAGGGTTGTTATGAGGATCAAATGAGATAATATTTGTAAAGTCAGCACAGTGCTGGCCCATATAAAGTGCTATATAAATATTAGCTATTGTTATAAAGCACTTTGTAATCAAAAAGTGTTCTACAAAGGAGAGTTGTGTTTTCTTTCAGTGGACCTGTGGTTTTATCATTTAGGATACTTCTTCCACTGAAGTAGCTCAGGCCCTTCCATATCTTCTGAGGCCCCGTCTGTGTTTTCCCTCTGCCCTCCCTGTAGAAGAGCTATGTGCTAGAAGGCTTCCTCTTGTTACTCCTACACTCAGATGGATCTCATCTCAACAATCAGTCAGCAAACATTTATCAAGGGCCTACTTCGTGCCAGGCTCTGTGGGACACAGAGCAAGGAGATATAAAGCAAGGCAAAAGTCCCTGCCTTCAAGGAGCTTACAGTCAAAATGGAGATTCTTTCCAGCACAGGTTGCAACCCATGCAGCCCTGCCCGATCTGCAACAATCCTCTTCATGACTTCCCTTAAGTTCCCCACATAGGATCTACCCAGTGTACTGGAGACACATATATATTCCATTAAATTATGTACCACAACTAGTTTAGCTCCAGCCAGGTCCTAATTAGTGCAATCTATTTCCTAGTTGATGTGCATTTACATTGTTCCCACTTCTCTAATATAAAAAGTGCTGGTATAAATATTTTTGGTGGATATTGGATCTTTTCCCCCTAATCTTTGACCTCTTTGAGATATATGCCTAGCAGTGAAATCTCTGAGCCAAAGGATATGGATATTAGTATTACTACTGATTCCTTTCTCACCCAGCTACACTACTCTAGGAATTCTCTACCATGCCCCAGGAAGATGATTATTGGGATAATCTCATCAACCTGGTGAGATATCACCAGCATTGTTATTCTACTTCATCATTATCTTCTGTCTGATTGGAGGATGGAGCCATGAATTCCCAAACCCCTTAAAAAGGAGGAAGCCCGGCTCAGAACATCCTCTCATATCTTACTGACTTCACTGCTCTGAGATATCTCTGACTTGTCTGCAATCCTCCCTTATCTTGGGTACCTTGCCTGCCTGGCTTTTCAGCTTCGTTTTCTGTGTTATCTTCCTTCATTAGATTGTAAGCTCCTTGAGGACTAGACCCATCTTTCTTTTTCTTATTTGTATTCCCAGCACTTAATCCAATGCCTGGCACCTAGCAGGTAATTAATAAATGTCAATTGAATGACTGACTGACTCACCACCAGTAAGGAGGACACAAACTATGAGTTGTTTCTCTGAGGGAGGATGAAACAAAGATATACTTTTGTGAGATGGCTGGAAATTCTGGGTGCATCCTATGCTGGTGGAACACAGTAGATCAAACAAGACTTGGCTTGAGCCTTAGAGGGGCCATGGTCTCCTGGGCTTAGCTAACTGGCCTCTAGGGACGTGGGGATGTGAGAGGAGAGAATAAATGAATGAGTGAGGAAGTACATGAGGCAAAATACCCTTCTCCCCTCCCCCCGACAAAAGCAAGACATGAGAGCCTTTAGGGGAGCAATAATAAAACTGTAATTTAAAAACTGCCTGCAAAAAGAATGCACAGTCTGTCAGCTAGCTTGCTAAGTTGATGCTAATTCTATGTAAATTAACTGCCAGCCCTAACTCTTTCACAGGCCTTGATGTGGCCCTTGGGGAAGATCCTGCTGGAAATCTCTCCCTATCAGTTAATAGGGGACCAGAAACTCCTCCCTTGCACTGAGCTCTTGGTGCTATGGGGGAAAAAAAAGAGCCGGTGTGAAGCTAAAAATACTAACAATGGAAATTTGATTTCTCTTTCTAGACAAAAAGCCTTGGCATCCACAGGAGGAAGGAGTGTTCAGGCAGCATGTGACTGGTTGGTATGAAATAAATAAATAGAGAAAGTAGCATACAATTAGCCCAGCTCATGGGCTTGAATATGCATTAGCTTTAGACTAGAGCCCTGCTGGGAGGTAGGGGGGGAGTTGATGGCAGCAGGTCTGTGTAACAAGTCCATTTTTTGTTTTAAGTAAAACTACCCTTACTAAAATATGTATTCATTTCCCACTGGGGCAAAATAGGGTATCATCCCAGAGCTTGAGACCCTGCACCCCTGGGTCGGGTGAATAAATTTGTGAAGCATATTCATGCCATGGAAAGCACATTCATTAGATAGGCACTGACATTCTTGCTCTCTGGGGGTTGTAGTCTGGTACATTTAGCCTTTAAATACACACACCTCCCAGCATACTTTGTAGCTCCCCTTAATTTTGATGGCCTTCTGGATGTAGTAACAACTCCAGGAGTCTAAGGAAGGAAAGGATTGGGCTAGAATTGTCCTGGTAGGTTGGAAAGGGGGTGGGGACAGACCAGGCAAGGTTTCTTGCAGCTATGATATAAAGGAAGGGGAGGATGTAATATGACACACAGGAGGAGGGAAGTTGTTTAGGCATGTGTTGGGTGTGAAAAGAATGTTCCAACTTGCTTCTGCTGAGATAGACTAGAGGGGGTGGCAGGAGTGGGCGGTAGGGGTGGCGGCGGAGGCGAGGAAAAAATGAGAAGAGAAAGAAACCTTTCTCTTGAGGGATGATGCCCAGACCAGTGACTAGTGGGCAGGCTTAGGTCTTTTTAAGTCCCCCTGGCCTTATCCTCAACTGTTACCTCTCTTTCCTCTTTTATTCCATTACAGGTTGTTCTCCCATGTTGGTGACCCCTTCCTGGATGACCCCCTGCCCCGAGAATACGTGTTGTACCTGCGGCCCACTGGCCCCTTAGCTCAGAAACTCTCTGACTTTTGGCAGCAATCCAAGCAGATCTGTGGGAAGAATAAAGCTCATAACATCTTCCCCCACATTACCCTCTGCCAGTTCTTCATGGTGAGCTAGCTCTACCCTACCCACCTTTTATCTTGTCCTAAGGAAGGGCCTAGCCCCTCCACCAGAGTTCCTTGTCTTCTCGTGATCCCAGAAAGCTCCTCTAGAGTGGTGGGGGAAATGTAGACATGAATCCCTCAGGAATTTGTTAGAATGAGTCAGAGATGCCTAGGTTATACCTGTCTGGACACCTGAGCTGACTGGGGAAGAGGGTGTGTTCTTTCAGATCTGCTGGGGTTCCAGGAGCACTAGTGACCTGCCCAAGGTTGGTGGTGGGTCATCCTTCCCTGACTGTGCATTTACTGCCTGTCTGTCACTGTAACATGCTCAAAGATGATACAACTGAATGGGTTGTTTCCATAGTAGTGAAGACTGATTTGCCCTCATTCCACTCACTTATCCCCAACCTTCCCATAACCAAGAACAGACACTTTGGCGATATCTGGGGATTTATGGTTGGCCTGGGGCTGAGCAAACTGACCCTGGTGGACATCAACCCTGTGACCCTTTCCTCTCTGTAGATAGGGAGATGCCTCCAGTTGTTTCAGTGTTTAACAGTCTCAATGGTCCGAAAGTTCTTTGAGGTCTAAGTTCAATACTCCTAGCTTCAATGTATGCTTGTGTCTTCTCATTTTCTCTCTGTGGGGATGGAAAACAGATGGTTAGTCCCCTTATATTTAAGATGAAGCAGGGAAAAAAGTCATGCTACCTTAGATCAGGTATCTTTTAGGTTTTTTTGGTTTCTTCAGTATTGGCATTTTGTTGTTCAGGTGAGAGCATCTTTTTTCTCTTTTTCTTTTCCCATTTATTTACCAAATCCCTCTGGCTTAAGATGCTCTCACTATTTTCCTGTAAGCCTTTCCCAACGTTTACAAAACACCTTTTTCAGAGGTGTTCAGAGCCTTTCAGAACACTCTCAGGCAGAAGGGTGATCTCATAGCTCTCTGGGCCTCATTATTTCTGAAAGACAAATGGGTAAAAAGAATATCAACCTTTGACCATGAAAGGACTGCAAAAGAAGTTTGGATAATACAGCTTGTCATCCATCATTTCATCTGCATAGGGCTTAATGAGTACTTTGACTAACAGAATTCATTAGCTGGTGACCATGGGCTCATGGTTTTAAAGCTGGAAGGGACTTTATAGACCATTTGGAAGTGATTATAAAGATAGTGTCAAAGGCGGTATTTGAACCCAGACCCTATGACTCCCAAACCATATCTCTTTCCTCTGTACTGTACTGTCTTTCATGTCTGTGATAATGAGCCCTTTTAACTAGCTGGCCCAGTCCTCCCACAGCTCATACAGATTCTATCCCTGGGTCACACGTATCCTTCTGCTTGGTAGGACCTATCAGAGCTTATGTACCACCTGTTTAGCCTTTGAGAGCCTAGCCAACATCTACATCACAATGGCATACCCTTTGATGGAGGGGATAATAAAAATTATTTTTAATAATTCAAAACCATGAATACATTTTAAAAAATCATGTTTATTTGACTTTGGAATCCAATGTGTGTGTGTGTGTGTGTGTGTGTGTGTGTCTCTCTCTCTCTGTCTTTCTCTTTCCCCCTCTTTCTCTTCCTCCTCCCCTGCTCCCCATCTTTCTCTTTCCCCCTTTTCTCCCTTCTTCCCTGTCCACTTTCTCCATCTCCCTCTTCCTTTTCTTCTCTCTTTCCTTCTCCCTCTTTCTTCCTCTGTCTCTCTCTTATTTTCTCTCTCTCTCACCTTCCCCACCTCCTTTTTCTCTCTCCCCCTCCCCCACCTCTCTCTCTCTCTTTCTGTCCTCATCTCTCCTTTCTCCCCTCTCTCTCACTCCCCTCTGATTCCTGTATGACAACCCCCGTGTCAGCTGCCAGGGAGTAGGAAGAAGGAGGCCCCACATCAGCCGTGGTTAAACCACAAAGATGGACAGTTCGTTTACAGACAATGAAGAGTTGCCTATAATTCTTCACCTCCTCATGGAAGTGATTCAGTCACTGTCTCATAAGCCTTAGGGCTTTAGAGGAAAGCCACGGAATCATTAGACATGCATTTTCCCATCTCTCTGACTGGAGCCTGTTTGCTCTCCTCTTGCCAGTGTGAGGACAGCAAGGTGGATGCCCTGGGGGAGGCCCTGCAGGCCACTGTCATGCGCTGGAAGTGCAAGTTTTCAGCCCCATTGCCACTCGAGCTCTATACCTCCTCCAACTTCATCGGCCTCTTTGTGAAGGAGGACAGTGCAGAGATTCTCAAGAAGTTTGCTGCTGACTTTGCTGCTGAGGCCGCATCTAAAACTGGTGAGCCAGCTTCCCTCCTCCAGCCTGGAGATCCTGGAGAAAACGGAGGTGCTGGGGGCTGGGTGGGAGGCAGCAGGTAAGGCTATGGCAATGGCACCAAGCCAGTGAGCATTCTAAGAGCGGCAGCAAAAGCTTGAATAAATGAATGAATGAAAGAATGAAAAAGTGTTAAGTGCCTGCTGTGTGCCTGGTACTATGCTAAGCACCGGCAACACAATACGAAAAGAGAGTCAGTCCTTGTCTTTTAAAAGCTTACATTTCTAAAACGGGAAGAGAACACGTATGAAGGAGTGGTGGCCAGGGACGGCTATTTTAGACTGGGAAGTCACAGGAATATTGAATGGAGTTTTGGAGCAATCAACATGGCCTTTCCAGGAATGGCTCTGTCGTTTTGATTATCGTTCCAAGAGCTAGAGGTAGAAAGGGAGGACTGTGAAGAGGGCTGGGCACATGGAGTACACAAAGATGGCCAGAGAGAATATGGCAGACAATGTGGTGAGTCTGGGTCAAGAAAGTTAGGGAGCAATCAGCAGCTAGAAGGGCCACAGGGCAGGACAGCAGGGTGGCTAGTGACGACACCTCCTGGCATGAAGATGGCTGGAAAGTATCGTGGCAGAGGCTGCTTCTCTCACCAGGAGCACCTAAATAGCACCCCTACCCCCATCACTAAACAAACATCCCAATTACAGCACCAGACTACTTGAGGTGCCTGCTTTGGCTAGGGGCTGGGGCAATGAGGGAGGGAGAAGGGGAGGGAGACACTTCAGTTGTCTTTCATACTCCTTGATGAGACCAGGAAGCAACCAACAGCTGGCCCCCAGGTCCATGCTAGTATAGCAACATCCTCCTTTCCCAGTTCAGAATTCAGGAGTCTTTCCTTCCTCAATACTCCTTCCCATCCAAGTGTTTATCTGGGTCTGATAATAATAATCATAATATTTCAAATTTAAATAATAAAGAGCTTTTATATGCATTATCTCATTTGATCCTTTTAACATCCCTATGGATTGGGACAGTTAGGTTTTTTTATGTATATATATGTGTGTGTGTGTGTGTATATTCATATATATTCACATATATTCACACATATTATATATATACATATATATATATATATAATGTTATTATTCCCACTCTACAGATGAGAAAATTGAGACTCAAATTGTAATTTTCCAAGCTATAGCATGTAAATAGAAGAGCCTAGGACTAGAACTCAGACCTTCTGACTTTGAACCCAGTGACTTTTGTCCCATTATGCCATGTGGTTCTTTAGGAGCCAAAGTACTTGGTCAGAATTTCTCAAGGATAGGACAGTATGGTCACTTAGTATTTAAATAATACTAATATTCACCAAGCAATTCCCTTTATGTGGTAAAGTTCATTACATGGACTTCAGCCTCATGGGCCAGCCTTAAAATTACAGCCCCATAAATATGTCTTCCTCCTTTTATTTCAACTATGGCTTTCAGTTTAATCCAGCCAAGATTTCCCATCAAAGGAATTAGCTGAAAGGAGTGGTTGTTATGTGTGTTTATTCTGGAGGAGAGAGGAGAGTGAGAGTTACAAAGCTGGCTTCTGTGAGGCTACAGGTCCAAACAGACTCACTTAGCTTAATGAGAAGTTTGGTTGGTATAGGGCATGAATAAAGGAATAGACACAAAGGAGGAACACAATTCTGTGGCCAGAGAAAGACACAGAGAGGAACGGAGCAAAGATAGGCTCCCTTAAGGATTCATCAATCAGTCAACAAGAATTTATTGAGCATCTGTTCTGTGTCTAGCTGTGGGGAGATTGAAGAGGAGCTCAGTGTTTAGAGTTCCGGGCCTAGAGTCAGGAAGATCTGAATTTAAATGCAGCTTCAGATAATACTAGCCATGTGACCTAGGCAAGTCACTGTACCTGTTTGCCTCAGTTTCCTCATCTGTAAAATGGGGATAGTAATAACACCTACCAGCTTCCCAGGGTTGTTGTGAAGATCAAATAAGATGATAATTGTAAAGTGCTTAGCACAGTGCCCAGCATATCGTCAACACTATATAATGTAAGCTATTATTATAATTGTTATTATCATTAGCCACCAAAGAGCTTACCATCTTGTTAGTTAAACTAGCACATGAAGTCATTAAGAGTAATGAAATGGGGCAGTGGATAGAGCACTGGCCCTGAATTCAGGAGGACCTGAGTTCAAATCCAGCCTCAGACACATAACACTTACTAGCTGTGTGACCCTGGGCAAGTCACTTAACCCCGTTGCCTAGCCCAGAAAAAAAAAAAAGAGTAATGAAGTGCTAAACTGTGGATACTGACTGATTCTAAGAGCAGAAGCAGCTGGGAGTTGTACAAAATTTGGAGTTTGTGGTTTTACAGGATACCATTTTTCACTATGTTTATTTGAATGTTTTTGTCAGTGATTACCAAGTCTAGAAGAAAAATAAAGATAAAGCAAAAATAGTTGGGAGAAGAGCTAGAGTAGTAGAGGAAGCTTTGTGGAGGAGATAGGGTATAAACAAGGCCTTTAATAGTAGCCAGTGTTTTGATAGGTAAAGGGAAAGAGGGAAGGATGTTTGTTGAGGGTTGGACAGTGAATAGGAAAATAACATTAGTGAAAACCTGAGACAAGAATGAGGTTGCCCTGGATGGGGTAAGATTAGGAAAGACCGAGTTACAGGGTGTTTATTGAGCAATTAAATCATCATAACCTCATGGAATGTCAGAGCTGAAAGGGACCTTTAGGAATCATCTGGTTCAACCTCTTCATTTTACAAATGAGAAAACTCAAGCCTCCAGAGATTAAGTGAAGCCCAAGGCCACGTAGCTCCCTCAGACTTCCATGTTTGAGAATCCCAGTTGCCTAAATTGTTCTTTCAGAGTCACTAGTTATCTCTTAATTGCCACATCTAATGGTTATTATTAATCTATTTAAGTAATTAGTTATCACTTAATTACTTATTATTATTAATATGTTTTCTTTTTCTTTTCTCCATTTTCTCCATTTTCACCCTTCTTGAACTCTCTTGAGCACTTGACCCCCATCTCTGGGTTTTCATGACACTGCTGCCTTTTTGTTCTCCTCCTACTTATTAAAGCTCTTCTTCTCAGTCTCCTCTACTGGACTTTCTTACCATGCTCTCTAACACCTTCACAGTGGGTGTTCTCTCAAGACTCTGTATTAGGCTCTCTTCTTCCTCTATATACTATTTCATTTGCTCATCAGCTCCCATGGATTCAACTGTCTTCTCTATGGAGGTGATTTTTAGATGGTGGCACAGTGAATAGAGTGCCAGGCCTGGAATCAGGAAAACCTGAGTTCAAATGTGGCCTCAGATACTTAGTAGCTCTGTGACCCTGGGCGAGTCACTTAGCCCTGTTTGCCTCAGTTTCCTCATCTGTAAAATGAGCTGGAGAAGGAAATGGCAAAGCACTCCAGTATCTTTGCCAAGAAAACCCCAAATGGGGTCACAAAGAGTGGGACACAGTTGAAAAATGACTAAACAATAACAACAAACTCTAGTCTCACTTTTAGGTTCCCATCTCCCACATCTGAAACATTTCGAGCTAGATGGCCCATAAGCATCTTAAGTTCAACATGACCAGAAAAAGAAGTCCTTATTTTCACCCTCATACTCTTCCTTCTTTCCAGCATCCCATTACTTTTGGGTTCCTTCTGTCCTCTCAGTCACTCGGTTTTACAGTCTTGGCTCACTGTCATCCTCTATCCATACTATCTTGCCAAATATTGTCATTTTTACCGTGTCAGTATCTCACACAGCCTCCACCCTATTTCAGGCCCTTACTGCCTCTAGCCTTCTAGTTAATCTCTCTTCTAATTAGTCTCCCTGAATCAAGACTTTCTCTTCTCCAATATGTTCTTTGCTTAGCTACCAAGATGATTTCCTAAAACACAGGTCTGATCATGTCACCCTCCTATTCAGTAAACTCTGGTGACTCTCTCTTACCTCCAGGACAAAATATGAAGTCCTCTGGCATTCCACTTTTCTTCCTAGCATGGCCCCTTCCAGACTTGCAGTCTCTTCACACTTTACTGCCCTTCACACACTTTGTGGTACAGCAATAGCAGCCTAATTGCTCATCCTTGAACGTGGCACCGTACTCAGTCATGTTTTTCAGCACTTTGGGTTTGGTTGCCTTCTCAGATTTCCTCCCATTCCAGAAGAGCAGTTTCCCCATTAAGAAGGATTTCTGGAAGATTGGCTTTCCAAACAGCCTTAATATATCTGAGAAACAGCTCGGGAAGCAAACTATTTCCTGTTACTTTGATGGCACCTCAGAGAAGTGATTTTCCCTCATTGAACTGTACCTACTGTCAGAGCCTATTAAAATCCTGCATCTCAGGTTAGGCAGAGGGCTTATTGTCAGGAGCCAAACTCAGTGATGTAGCCACTGAACCCAAAGCCTTCACTATTGGGTAGAACAGCCACAGCTCTTAGGGATGCTTAAAGCTTATGCTGGTCAGGGGTCTTCTGTCACTCTCCAGCAACTTGGAGAGACTTGGGCTTTTTTTTTTTTTTGCCACCTTATTGCCCCCTGGTGGCAACAGAGTTGGGTGGGTCTAGTAAAAACGGCTTAATTCTGAAAAACCTACACTTAAAGAGGTTCTGATGGGTTTGAGAATTCTTTATATTAGATTATGAATGTAAATAGAAAGTCAGTGTCAGCGTGGCTACATTATAGCTTTGCCCTAGTATGCCTGAGTCTCATGGAAGGAGCAGATTTTTTCATCAGACTCAAGCACTAAGTAAGCCAGAGTCCCCCTAGAGGACTTAGCCTGTGGAAAGCCTCTGCTTGCCACACCTGCTACCCATCTTTGGACAACAGCACGTACTCCTTCCTACCCAAATAAAATTGTAGGGATCTGAATCTAGATTTATAGGATCATGGACTTTAGAGCTGGAAGGAACCTTAGAGGTCACCTAATCCTCTCATTTTGTTGATGAATAAACCAAGGCCCAGAAAGGGGAAATGACTTGCCTACTGGCTATACTACAAATTAGCAGAAGAAGTTGGTAGTACAAGTATTGTCCCCATTTTATGGATCTGAAAACTAAAGTCAGAGAAGTTAAGTCACTTGTCCAAAATCCACACAAGTGGTAAGTTGGTTGTAGAAGCAAGATTCAAACACAGGTCTTCCAATAAATCTAGTGCTTTTTTTTCTGTTACATCATTCTGCTATTACTTTTTCTCACTTTAAATGAGTAGTAAATTACTCCCCCATTTTGGATGGCTTTTTTCTTCTTTTTACAAAGAATTTCAGATAATACCAACCATAAAGAGCTGGGCATTGTAATGATATCATGGTCCTAAAAGCATTTGACCTAGTTCTCCTTTTTCTCATTGCACCAGACATAGAACCTAGTGGCCAAAGGTACTGGCTCAACCAGGAATTTTCTTCAAACTTGCTGGGCAGCCTCGAGGGTTGAAAGCAACATCCTTTTTCTAGGCCTCAGTTTCCCATATACATGCCAAATACAATGCTCTCATCATTTGTGATGAGGCTAGCTGGGTGTTAACTTTAATCATTCCTTTCTTTTTTCATATCTCATTACCTAATCTTGTTCATTCTGCCTCCATTATTTATCTTATATCTGACCCTTTACATCTATTTTCTCTCTCTTCCAATGTATCCTTCACACTGACACCAGAATAGTCTCTTATGCATCAGTCAAATCATTTCATTCCTCTGCTCAGAATTTCTCAGTGGTTCCCTATTACCTCCTAAGTAAAATCCAGATTCCTTACACTGGAATTCAAGGCCCTCCACAACCTGGCACCACCTTTTTTCTCTTAAGGTGCTGAACCGTTCCCTGCCCCTGAACATACCTTGAATTTTCCTGTCTGTATCCTTCTGCCCTTGCCATATGCCCAGCATGTCTCCTGCATAGCAGTCTACTTCCTTCTACTGAATTCCCACCCTCCTTTAAAGCCAGCTTAAATGCTACTTCCTCCATGCACTTGTTAAAAGTGATTTTTCTTACCTGGGACCTCACATAGCACTTGCTTTGCACTTCTGTAATGCACTTAACACCCACTAGCTTGTATTGAAGCTATTTGTATGTGTGTCATATCCCCCACTAGACTATGAGCTACATGGCGTCAGAGATAGTATCATCTCTAAATGTTATATCTTCCCTCATTGTGTTGGGATGTCACAGTGCTCTGCACACAGTAAGCACTTAATAAGTATTGGCTGAATCAAATGGACTTTCATTGATTTTCAGAAACAGTGGGTTGGTACAAAAATAATTTGTTTTATTCTTTTTTCCCCTTACTGCTACTTAGGATAGGAGAAAGTACCTTTGTAACTGATTTGGGAGCTGTAGGCTTGCTGTTTGGGAGGAACAAGTCTAGTGGGGCCTCTTGCCATGCTGTGCCTTTAATTCCTGAGGCTGTTTTGGACCCTTCTCTTTTTCCTTTTTCCAGAGGTACACGTGGAACCCCATAAGAAGCAGCTTCATGTGACTCTGGCTTACCACTTCCAAGCCAGCCACCTGCCTACCCTGGAGAAACTGGCCCAGAATATTGATGTCAAACTGGGGTGTGACTGGGTTGCCACCATATTCTCTCGAGACATCCGATTTGCTAACCATGAGGTAATCTATCTCTCATCTACCCCTACCAGACCCGCCCTCTGAATTTAGCTACCTACCAACATGGATTAAGCACCTGCCATGTACACAGCCTCATGCTGGGTCCTTACAGGTGGGTACCAAAGAAATGCAATGTAGAATAACAGAAAAATGTGTCAGACTAGGAGTCAGGAGACCTGGATTCTGGTCCCAATTCTGCCCCTAACACACATGGACATATGGACATGACATATGCTCCTTAACCTAAAAAGGTGAGGTGCTAGTGGGCCCTGGACAAAGTAGCAACAGGTAGATTCCCACTCTTGCTTGTGGCTTGAGAGTCTTCTCAAGTGTGTGCTAGGTCTGGGAATGCAAAGATAAGAAACTAAACAATCGTAGTCCTCAAGGAACTCCCCTTCTACTGAAGCTGTTTCTTCTGTTAGACTGTTAACATGGCCCAGGTCTTACCAATAGATTTATTGGCAAGTCATTTAAACTTTCTGGGTTTCTTTAGTCTTAAACGTAGAGATGATGATATTTGGCCAGAATACACCTCATAAGGATATTCTGGGAATAAAAAAGGTAATAAATGGGAAGGAAGCTTTTAAACGTTGGAAGGAATTATTTTAAATAAAAATTCAAAAGACCCTTTCTAGAATCTTTTAGCAGGAAAAGGGCATACAAACAAAACATGACATTGAAACATTCATCAGATACTTATTAAATACTTCTTATGTCTAAGGTGCCATGGGGTGGGGAAAGGAGTAGAGAGAAATATAAGAAAAACAAGGCCTTGCCTTTAAAGAGGTGACTGTCTAGTTGGAGAGAAGAGGATAATAGTAACAGTACATTTGTTTAGCATGTTTTATTAAAAGGTGTTTTTCCTGCATTATATTCTTTGAGCTGAAATCTAGGCAGTTACAAGTATTTTCATAATCCCTCTATTACATATGAAGAAATAGGCCCTAAGTGACTGGCCCAAGGTCAAAGGCAGAGTTAGCACCAGCTGGTGTGAATCCTGCTGTCTCTTTCTGCATCACCCTGGGAGAGTTTCTAGAAACACTAAGCATCCAGGCTGGGCTTGCCCTTACCTAGAAGAGAAGTCATTCCAGGAATTACGTGGGATGGAACCTAGAGAAGGAAGAGAAGAATACACCTTACTCTTAGAATCTGGGAAGAAGTATCTGAAAAGTTAGGCTAACTCTGGGTTGGCCTCCTTTCATGAGAAGAGCAGAGAAGAAAGGTGGCCATGGAATTTTACCAGGAATGTCTTCTAATCAACACCGCCCTCCAGTTAACACAAAGGGTAATTGCTTTTCTGCCTGACCCACATTCTTGCTCAGTTGGCACAGAGGAAAGAGATTGAGATATGGGGGGAGAGAGAGAGAGAGAGAAAGAGAGAGACTGCAAACACCCACATGAATTATCGCCTAAAAATAACTTGTCCCTTTTTATCTTGAATGTGTAAAAGCTCATTTGTTACTGTTCTTTTCAATAGCTCTTTCCATAGCCCCCTCAGAATAGAATTTCCACTTTGAAGTCCATTTGCCTTAAGAGAGCCTTCCTATATTTGTATAGCACCCTCACATCCCTTGTGCTTAATTGATTGTGTCCCACTCTCTTAGTTGAGCGTGTCAATGAGGCAACCAGAAAAAGGAGCTGACGCATCCAAGACAACACTTTAACAGGGCAAGGGGAGAGGCAGGATGAGTTCTGTGTTGGAGTGTCAAATCCAATTCAATCCCAGCTATTTATCAAAAAGCACCTACTATATGGAAGTTACTGAGCTAGGTGCTGGAGATATAAATGCAAAATAAAAAGAAATAAAAGCAGCCCCTATCCTCAGTGAGCTCACATGGGAGAGAAGGGTTCAGAGGGAAGCAATATGAAAACAGGTAAATAAATCCAACATATTTAGAGGAGGGAGAAGGTACTAACAACCAGAGGGATGAGGAAAGGCTTCCTATAGGAGGTGAATGAAGGTAGTCACTCAACTTTTTTTTGTTTATAAATTTATTTATTTTCAGTTTTCAATATTTACTTCCACAAAATTTTGAGTTCCAAATTTTCACCCCATCTCACCCCTCCCCCTACCCCACGATGGCATGCATTCTGAATATCCCTTCCCCTAGTCTGCCCTCTCTTCTGTCTCTCCCCTCCTTCTCTTATCCCCTTTCCCTTCTATTTTCCTGTAGGGCAGGATAGACTTCTGTACCCCATTTCCTATATTTATTATTTCCCAGTTGCATGTGAAAACATTTTTTTAAAACCTATGTTTTAAAAACTTTAGGTTTCAGATCTTCTGCCTTCCTCCCTCCCCACCCACCCTCATTGAAAAGGCAAGCAACTCAATATAGGTTATACATGTGCAGTTATGCAAAACACTTCCATAGTAGACATGTTGTGAAAAACTAACTCTATTTCCCTTAATCCTATCCTGCCCTCCCATTTATTCTATTCTTTCTTTTGACCCTGTCCCTCCTCAGAAGTATTTGCTTCTGATTACCCCTTTCCCAATCTGCCCTCCTCTCTATCATCCCCCTGCTCTCTTGTCCCCTTCTCCCCCTATTTTCCTGTAGGGTAAGACAGATTTCCTTACCCAATTGAATGTGTATGTTATTCCCTCCTTAAGCCAAATCCTATGAGAATAAGATTCACTCATTCCCTCTCACCTTCCCCATTTCCCCTCCACTGTAAGAGATTTTCTTTTGTTTTTTTTTGTGAGATAATTTACCCCATTCTACCTCTCCCTTTCTTCTTCTCCAGTATAATCCTCTCTCATCCCTTAATTTTATTCTCCAGATATGACCCCTTAATCTTCAACTCACCCTGTGCCCTTATCTATCTATCTATCTATCTATCTATCTATCTATCTATCTATACATACATATAATTTTTTTCCTCCAACTACCCTAATACTGACAAAGGTCTCATGAGTTATAAATATCATCTTTCCATGCAGGAATGTAAACAGTTCAACCTTAATAAGTCTCTTATGATTTCTCTTTCCTGTTTACCTCTTCATGTTCCACTTGAGTCTTGTATTTGAAAGTCAGATTTTCTATTCAGCACTAGTCTTTTCATCAAGAATGCTTGAAAGTCCTCTGTTTCACTGAATGACCAAAAAACGGGTAGGTGATTCTTGGTTGTAATCCTATCTCCTTTGCCCTCCTGAATATTATATTCCATGCCCTGTTCTTTAACGTAGAAGCTGCTAAATCTTGTGTTATCCTGATTGTGTTTCCACAGTACTTGAATTGTTTCTTTCTGGCAGCTTGTAATATTTTCTCCTTGACCTGGGAACTCTGGAATTTGGCTACAATATTCCTAGGAGTTTTCCTTTGGGGATCTCTTTCAGGAGGAGATCAGTGGATTCTTTCAATTTCTATTTTGCCCTCTGGTTCTAAATATCAGGGCAGTTTTCCTTGATAATTTCTTGAAAGATGATGTCTAGGCTCTTTTTTTGATCATGGCTTTCAGATAGTCCAATAATTTTTAAATTCTCTCTCCTGGATCTATTTTCCAGGTCAGTTGTTTTTCCAATGAGATATTTCACATTCTCTTCTATTTTTCATTCTTTTGGATTTGTTTTACAGTGTCTTGATTTCTCATAAAGTCACTAGCTCCAATTGCTCTATTCTAATTTTTAAGGAAGTATTTTCTTCAGTAATCTTTTGGACTTCCTTTTCCATTTGGCCAATTTTGCTTTTTAGGGCATTCTTCCCCTCATTGGCTTTTTGGATCTCTTTTGCCATTTGGGTTAGACTATTTTTTAAGGTGTTATTTTCTTCAGTATTTTTTTGGGTCTCCTTTAGCAAGCTGTTGACTTGTTTTTCATGATTTTCTTGCATCACTCTCATTTCTCTTCCCAGTTTTTCCTCTACTTCTCTTACTTGCTTCTCAAAATCCCTTTTGAGCTCTTCCAAGGCCTGGGACTGATTCATATTTTTCTTTGAGGCTTTGGATGCAGGAGCTTGACTTTGTTGTCTTCTTTTGGGTGTATATTTTGATCTTCTTTGTCACCAAAGTAAGATAGTATCGTCTGACTCTTTTTGCGCTGCTTGCTCATGATCCCAGCCAATTACTTGAGTTTTAAACTCTTTGTTAAGGTAAGAGTCTGCTTCCAATGTGGAGAATGTACTGTCCCAAGCTTCAGGGGTTTATATAGCTGTTTTCAGAGATACTCGTAGGGACCTGTAAATTTTCAGTTCTCACAAAGGGTGTGAAAAGGGGCAAGGTGTTTACTCTTTTCCTGGCTTGTGCTGTGGTTTATTAGTGACCACAAGTACTCCTTTCTGTCCTGGAACTGTGAGGAAGGTTTCCTGTCCACAGCCACTATAAGTTCCACCATGCCAGTGCTTCTCCTCACCCCAGGACCGCCGCCCAGAACTGTGACCCAGATCCAAAGCAAGATATTCCTGCCTCAGCACCAGCAGAGAGAGCCCTGCAATCCCCCTCTGATCAGCCACTTGATTCCCCCTCAGGTTGTGGGCCGGAAGCTTGGGAAGCAGCTGCCCACCCCAGGGCCGTGCTCTTGGGGAATGGAGCTGAGACCCTGCCTTCCTCTCTCAGTACTGCAGAAACAGACTTTTCCCACTGACCTTCTAAGTTGTCTTTGGCATTCCTGGATTGAGGAGTCTGGAAACCGCCACAGCTGCCCACGATTCAGTCCTCTGAGGCCTGCTCCAGGTTCACTGCGGCCTGTGGGCCCATGCCACACTGCGCTCTGCTCCCAGCCCGGCGTGATATGCCTTTCTGATCAATCATTCAGGTTGTCTTGGGCTGGAAATTTGTTTCACTCTGTCTTCTTGTGAGTTCTGCTGCTTTAGAATTTGTTTAGAGCCATTTTTGTAGGTATTTGGAGGGGTTTGGGGGAGAGCTCAAGCAAGTTGCTGCTTTCATTCCGCCATCTTGGTTCTGCCCATCATTCAACTTTTTAATAATGATACTAAGGATATAAAACTTTGAGGTTTGCAAAGCACTTTTCATTATCTCATGTGGTACTCACAACAACCATATGAGAT